ATAGGTGATAACGTGGTGGTTGTGATGGAAGTACTGATGAGGATAGCAGTGCGATGGTGCTGAAGATGAGAGGAAACGATGGTGGGAAGGAGATGGTGGTGTGACAGTGGAGGTGTTAGTGATGGTGGTGGCAGTGATAAAGATGGGAACGCAATTAGTGATAGAGGCAAGAACATAAATATTATTTACTTTACACTCCTGTACACAGTCCTTTACAGTTCACACCAGCCATCACACATTCCTAATTCTCACAGCTACCTTCGGGTGGGCAATTTCATCCTCACTTTATAAATGATGACAATGAGCCACAGACAAGTCATATTCTGCTTGCCCAAAGTCACAAGGCCAGTAAGCTGGCCCGGGCTCTCTGCCTTCAGGGCTCCTCCCCACTTGGAGCAGGGTACAAGGGCAGCGTGAGAATGCTGTTGGTGGTGAGGCAGAGGCCATTCTGCATTCCCAACACAGTGGGCTCAGCCGTCCTCAGTTTGGGGGAGCAAGGAGTAGAACTCGATGAGGGAGGAAGCAGTTCTAATCCCCGCCCCACTACCGACCGCCTGTGACTTTCTCTGGGTGGCGGCCAAGGCAGATGTCAGCTGCCAGGTGACAGCAGGCCTGCTGGGCAGAGCCAGTGGAACCTGGCAGGAGCCCCACACACCAAGGGGATGAAGTCAGGGGTGGGAAATAATCCTGGAGTCAGAGAAAGGCTTGCTTTGGGGTGACATTCCTGGAAAGTTCTGCTATGATTGGCTTGAAGTTGGGGCTTCTGCACAGCCCTTTCCAGTCAGGAGCAAGTTTATTAATAAACCCTGCCCTACCCGCTGCCCTCAACCTGGGGTGGGGAGTCTCACTGCAAGGGGGTGGGGAGATGGCGACTGAGCCCTTAGATCTAGGCGGGGGGTGCAAATGGCCTGTAGCCCCCAGACTACATTCCCCACCCCACTGCAGCCATAGGGCTCCCCCTGCTTCAGCCACAGACTCTGAGGGCTTAGGAGAAATGGTAACAGGGGTGGGCGGTCTGCACATGAGTGCAAAGGGCTGCAAGCGAGAGTGCCTGCATGTACAGTTGGGTGTGCAGACGTGAGCTCCTGAACAGTGTTATGAGGGTAATAACGGGCTCCGGGGGGTGCACACGTGCAGGGGTACCCGTGGTTGGCCTGGAGGAATGTAAACCATGTCTCAGCTGCCTGCAAGGGTGTTCTGTGTGAGCCCTGGGCCATGTGTGTGGGCGGTGGGCGGGAGACATTAAGTGTGAGGGTGCTAAGGCCTCGGGAGCATGGCCTCCTGCCCAGGCGCTTCCCTCTGCGGCTCATTAGCACCCAAGGCCTCAATTTACTGCCTCTGCTCCTCCACCCCCTGGCTCTGACCTCATTAGGCTCCAGCCCCCTTCCTAGGACAGTGGGGAGGGGAGAGGAATGACTGCTTAATCTGCAGTGCAGGATCCCTGGGGAAGGAAGGAAAGTCCTGGGGGCGGGGGAGAGGGGAGACCAGGCACAGAACTTAATATAGTCACAGGGCAGGCCAAGGAGGATGTCAGCTCCTATTACACCTACCACCTCGCCCCCATCATATGACCCAGCTCCTGCTGGTGAGGCGTGAGCAGGGTGAGGAGCACCTGGGCCTGGGCATGCTGGGGGCCGCCCTGTGCTCTGCCCTCCATACATCCTTAAATGGAACCCCTCTCCCAGCTTGTCCTCCTGGCAAGGGGCAGGGTCCAGCTCTCCGCTCAGTGTGCCTCTGGATGGCTTGGCTGGGTAGTCCTGACTCCCACTGGGCCAGCCAGGAAGGGAGGGAAGGGGTGGGCACCTCCAGCACTGATCCCAGCACAGCCCCCAAAGGGACAGGTCCTTCTGATGCTCACCCTCCCCCACCTCCCTCCCTCACCCCTAGGTCCATGGTCCCAAACTATGGCACACCTGTGGGCAGAGCCCTGAGTTAGGCGTAGTAGTGAGAGCCAGGGTGAGAAGGAGCAGAGCAGCCAGGTCAGCAGCCCCTTCGCAGCCGCTTCAGGAAAGCAGTGCGTGTGCCACGAAAGTCAGGTTCAGATAAGTCCTCCCCTAAACCCCTCCAGCCTAGAAATCCCGGAGCCCAGTAGGAGGGGGACACAGCCCTGCCCTCAGGGAGTCCCAGTCTGGGGGGGACATGGCTCCGCCCTCAGGGAGCCCCAGACTATCACATCAAATCCCCTCTGTTGAGCTTCCTGTGTTACCTTGGGGATTTACTCAACATCTTGGAGCATCAGTTTTCTTGTCTGTGAAATGGTAACATGGCCGTGTCCCTCAAAGGTACTTGTTCTATGCCTGGCAGATAGCAAAAGCTGAATAAAAGGTGGCTGTTCTTCTTCAATGTGAGCTTTTTGTGGAAGAAATCATCACATTTGGTTTTTAATTGGGGAAGTAGATTCCAATAGGATCATGTGCACTCCCTATTTCCACCTAGAGACAGGTCATCTCTGGAAGGTCTGGCTGCGTTGACACCCCATGGTCTCCCCAGGTAGCCCCAGGCTTCATGTTTATAGTCAACAAATATCCTGAAAAGTCTGTCACACAAGCAGTCCCAGGCATGAGGACACCAGTGCAGCATGGGGACAAGGCAAACCGTGCAGCTGCCCCCACCAGACGATGCTATCCGGTGGCTTCTGGTCATTGACTTCCTGGGAACCCAGTTTTTAAAACTTACTTTTTATTAAATTGTAAGGTTTGTGCATCAAATTGAACAAATCTTAAGAGATCTGGCAAACTTGTGCATATGTATATGCCCATGTAACCACCACCCAGATCACGCACAGAGTATTCCAGCACCCCAGGAAGCTCCCTCAAGCCCCTCCCAGTCAACCCCATCTCTCAGAAGTAACCACTATTCTGACTTTTATCACCACGGGTTGGCTTTGTTCTTGAACCTCACGCACACGGACTCCAGAGCATACATTCTTTGTATGGGGCCCAGTGTGGTCAGTGTGGGGTCTGTGAGGGTCATCCATGCTATTCCTGCAGCATTACGTCTTCCTTTTTCCTGTCTGAGCAGCCTTCCATTGCGTGGCTATGCCACAATTTATTATCTATTCTGCTGTTGATAGACATTTGGGTTGTTTCCAGTTTTTAATTAATAGCAGTAAAGCAGCCATAGCATTCTTGGACATGTCTTTCAGTGCACGTAAACATGGCAACCCATCCTGAGAGCAGATTTTGAGGGGGATGCTTAGTTAACAACTCCAGGGAGGGAAGGAGGGATTGAAAATTATCATGCTCCTGCCCTGGGCCATGAGCTTTTTTGGGTTCATGGGACCAGCCACAGGGGAAGGAGGACAGAGGCAGAGCAGCTCCCAAGAGGAACTCCACCAACCTCGTCACTGAGCCTAGAGCCAGCAGCATGTGTGTGTGTGCGTGTGTGTGTGTGCACGTGTGTGTGTGTGACTGTATTCGTTTCCTAGAGCTGCCATAACAAATTACCACAGACTTGGTGGCTTAAACCAACAGAAATTTACTCTCTCGTAGTTAAGGAGGCCAGAGTCCAAAATCAACGTGTCAGCAGGTTTGGTTCCTTCTGGAGGCTCTGAGGGAGTCTGTTGCATGCCTCTCTCCTAGCTCCTGGCGTTTGCCAGCAATCCCCGGTGTTCCTTGGCTTACAGCTGCATCACTCCAATCTCTGCCTCCATCATCATGTGTCCATCTTCCCTGTGTGTCTCCGAGTCGCTGTGTCTACAAATCTCTCTCTCCCTAAAAGACACCAGTCATCAAATTTAGGGCCCACTCTAATCCAGTAAGATCTCATCTTAAAACTTGATTACACCTACAAAGACTCTATTTCCAACTAAGGTCATGTTCCCAGGTAGTAGGGGTTAGGATGTCAACATATCTTTTGGGGGACACAATTCCACCAACAGCAGTGATTACGACTCTGCATGTGTGGCTGTACATGAGTGTGGTTGTATGAAATTGTGAGTGTACACGAATGTCTATGTGGGTGCGTACAAGTGTGAGGGAGTACTGACAGTGTGTGTGCATGTGCTTGTGAGAACGTGTCTGCATTGGTGTCTCTGGTTGTGCTCATGTGGCCGTGGGCACATGTAAGTGAGAGTGTGTGTGCCCCTGTGTCCATGGACACCCTGCTGGACAAGCTGAGAAGGGTGGCAAGGCAGCATGGTGGCAGCAGGCCTGGCTCCCTGCTGTGGTTGAAGCCGTGTTTGGAGCCAGCCAGGGTGGGCCAGCAGGGCCTTGCCTCATGAATCCAGAGAGTGAGCTGTGAGAAGCAAGGACAAGGGTGTTTGCTGAATTGGGCACAGGCTGGTAAGCTGAGGTGGTGGCTCCTGGCGGCAGCATCCGTTCCCAGGTCCTCTTCCAGGAACGTTCCTAGAAGGCCCCTCCACCCAAGCTCCTGTCCCCTGCACCCCATTTGCCTGGATGGAGTGGTGCTGGCTGACTCATTCTCTCCCAGGGTTAGAAGCCAGCACTCAGTTACCTGTTGTGCCAGCCAGGTAGGGGTGGGGCAGGTAGCCAGCCCCTCCCAGGCCCTGCCCCTAGGCCAATCCAGAGAGTAGCCAATCACCCGCCACGCCTCGGCATTTCCAGGAAATGGAGAAAGACAGAGGTGAGCACATGGTCAGGGAAGACCTAGTGCAGCCCCTTTCGGGCAAACCTGCCCCCAGAGACAGGACATTGGGAGGGTCTCCTCAATAGTAATGTCAGTCAGGGCCTGCTCTGGCCAGTTAACTCATTTAAACCTCACAACCAAGTTTAAGTAGTATTCTCATCATCCCCATTTTACAGATGCTATTGCTGAGGCCCTAAGGAGTTAAATGATCTGCCTAAGATTACACACATTTGTTTATATTTGTTGGAATGCTTTTATTCTCTCTGGAAATCCACGCCCTAGCCCTTCCTCCAGACTCAGCCCCAGCTCCTCCCACCGTCTCCCTGCCTACCACACACCCACACCCTGGAAGTGCAGCCTCCCCCCCCCCCCCCCCCCCCCCCGACCTTCCCCGGGAAGACCCTCTGGCCCAAGGAGCGGTGGGGGGCAGGTTTGGGGTGGTCTCTCTGATTCCACCCTCCTGGGCTCCTCCATGGTGTCCTGGTTTTGGTTTTGGTGTGGTAGTGAGCTTATTCTCTCTGTGAACATGTCAGTGAGCACACATTTGGAGGAGGGGGTGTCTGGGCATGCTGGCACACCTGCAGGTGGGCTGCCCCCAGGGACCCATGAGGGCACGGCTGTGGTGGGACATACATTGCACAGGGTGTACCTGTGAAAGTGCCTAGGCACAGGGTGCAAGCCCCTGTGGATGTTCATGAAAAGCCTGTCCCCCTGCAGGCTTGGGCGTCTGTAGGGTGCCTCCCCCATCTCTCCCCCCTTATCAGATAACTGCCAGCATCCTCAGTTCTCAGACTCCCAGGCCCCAGGCGAGAGAGCCTGGTGAAAACTGCCTAGGACTGGGAACAGGGGCACCTAAGTCTCAAGCCTCGCCAGCTCCAGCCGCAGGTGCCCTTGAGCCAGCACCGCCCCACCCTGGCAGCTGGAGTGTCCTCACCCAATGGGATGGGGTGACACGAGGGGAGGAGGCAGCAGGAACGCTTCTCCCGCCCCCAGGAGCACAGGGAGTCTCATTACCCCGGTACTCAGTAGACTGGGGGGATTGAGCCAGGACTTGGCATTGACTACAAAGTGTGGGGGGCACCCCCCAGCACTCCCGCGGGCGGCTGGCCGGGGGGAGGGGCTGTGACGTTCAGTGGCCTCATGCAGCCGAGAGGAAGTAGCTAATTGCTGACCTGATGACTGGGCAGCCTGAGGAGTGGGGTGATGATGCCACTCGCGGAAGCAGGCGCCCCAGCCCAAGGAGGGGGCCCTGCAGGGACGGGTGGGCCAGGCCTGGGCTCTGCAGAGGCCGAGGTGGCTGTGGCCAAAGGAGCAGGGGGTGGGGGTTGTTGAGGCTGTGACCGTGAGAAAGGGCTCCTCCAGGGCTTCCCTCAGCTTCAGGGGAAGAGAGTTCAGAGGCAACGAGGGGATGAGGGGATTTGGGAAGGGGCTACACGGGGCAGAGTGGGAGAAGATGGAGGCTGAGGCTTCTTCTTGCCCCCTTTCCACCTACGTTGCCTCCACCTTCCCATCTCCCCCACTCCCACCTTATCCCCTCTTTGGTCCCTGTGGCTCAGGTGGGTGAGGAAGGAGGGAGTAGATGGAGAGTTCTTTTCATCAGAAGACCCCCGGGCACCAGCAGCCTTCTTGGCCATACCTACCCTGCTGAAGACCAGAGCTCCAGGAGAAGCAGTGGCACTTCAGCTGTCCTCACAGACAGGAAGAGCAGGTGCAGCAGGTGGAGAGAACAGCACAAGCAAAGGCCGGGCAGTGGGGTCTAGTGAGGGTGATGGAGGATAGGGCTTGGTGGCCATGGTAATGAGGAGAGAGGAGATGCGCAGCGCCGTTCTGCGCCAAGGGCCACACTGTCCCTTCCTGGCAGAAACTGTGGGTAACCACACTTGGAGCTTCTCCCACATGCTGGCCACAGCCTCTGGCCAGACAGGCCTGGCCTCGACTGCCAGAGCAAGGGCCAGGACCAGGTCAACAGCCACGCGAGATGGGGACCACCCCCGGCCCCTCCATCCCCAGGTGCATCAACACCAGAGAACCAGCAGCCCTGAGTCCCAAGAAACAGGATCCATCCGCCTGTCAGTTCTCTGGGCCCCTAGCGCCCCCTGTGGGCAGGAAGCTACACGAATGGGGGAGGGGCCTCTACCTGCCTGCGGGGAGGAAGGGAGACAGACTTGCCCTCCTGGAAGTAAACAGACCCTGCCTCAGGGAACCCCCAGTGTGACGAAGGAGACACCGACATTGAGCTCTGAGCTCCAGCCTCTAAAGCAGCCCCTGTCCTCAGGAGGCTCCTAGTCTGATGGAGACGTACTACCATCAGAGATCCATTCCGAAGGGTGAAACATACCAGCTGGCTGTAGGAAACGTCGTAGTCTGCGGGTAGGGACACACAACCCCAGCGAATTTTTCCGGAGCCCCCAATCTGTTGCAAACACAGGTTAGACATTTTGGTGACTGTAGGGCTGCTAGAAAAAAATACAAGATGCCCAGGTAAATTTAAACTAACAACGAATAATTTTTTTAGTATAAGTATGCCCCACATGTTGTAGGGGATATACTTGTACTGAAATATGATTCGTTGTTTATTTGAACTTCAAATTTAACTGGACGTCCCGTATTTTTATTTGCCAAATCTGAGAGCCCTAGATGCCTCCAATTTGAGGGAGGAGGGGGGACTCCCATACACGGAAATGCAGGTAAACACCTCAGCGTGCTCTGGAAAGCAGCTGTGAGGAGGGAGGGGGAGTCCTGGGGCGCCGGCTTGCAGCAGTTTAAAATTCCTTCCAAGCCAGATCCCTAATCCCTCGGTGCACAATGGCCGCCTTCTCCCCCGCCGCCAGCGCCCACGCCCTCCCCCGCGGGGCCGTGGCAGTGCCACCACGGGCCTCCCTAAGCCCCTTTGAAGCCGCCAGAGCCCCGCGCCGCGGGAGGCCCCGCCGCTATGCCAGTTATGCCAGCTATGTCCCCGCCGCCGCCGGCCACCACGGCTCCCCCATTAATGCTAGCTAATCTGGCTAATAAATAAACTCCCCTCCCAGCCTCAGTCCCCCACTGGCTCCTCCCTGCTCCCCGAGAATTGATTCCAGGGCTTGGGTGAAACAAGCGCCCCCACTCCCTTCAGATGTCTCTGCTTTTTTTTCTCTTGCTGTCCTACGTCTGTTGCCCATGTCTGACGGGACTCGGGGCGCCTCTGCCTCGTGCACTGCATCTGCATCTCTTTCAGTCCACCTGCGCGCAGAGAGCAGGCCACATGCCTGCGTGCCCGGGAACTAGACTCGATGCCCCCCGAGAAGATCCGCTGGACCGAGGAGCGCCCCCTGGAGGCGGGAGGAGGAGCAGGCCACGCCCCTCCTGGCCCCGCCCTCCTGTGTCCGCGGAAGTGGGCGCCCCGCGAGCTGCCCCAGGACGGGTGACTTCGTGCTAGGGAAAGGCGCCGGCGCCTCCTACGGCAGGAGTCCCTTCTCCGCGGCCTCTGCCGCCCCCTGTGTCCCCACCCGGGCTTCTGAGAGTCTGACTCAGAGCCGAGCCCGCATCGCTTCACCTCCTACAACACACCCGGAGCGCGCGGAGAAATTACAGGATTGCAGGGGCACGGCTAATGCTCTCTAATTACCCACTGCCGCTCTCGTTCGCGGCGCTCTGCGGCGCTGGGCCAACATGCCGTAATTAGGCCGCCCCTCCCCGGTCCCTGAACCTGTCCCTGGTGCCCAGGACAGCGCGCATCCGCTCAGCCCGCCGCCCCCTGCTGCCCTCCGGGACTGCCCCGCAGTCCCAGGAGAGAGTTCTGCGACCCCCACTTGGAGTGGGGAGAGGGGAGGTGCGGGACTTGGGGACCAGCCCCTCCCTCCCTGTAAGCCTACAGTCCTGGAGATCTCTGCTGGAAGGGACTGGGAGAGTAGGGACGGTGGACCCATTTCGTTGACATGGACACTGAGGCCTATTGGAAAGCTAACTGTCCGGGGGAGGAGTGGGTAGGGCACCAGGGCAACAGTATCCCCATATTGCGTATGAGGCACAAAACAGTAAAGGCTCTCAGGGAAGGCCACCAAGCCAAACTTCCAGATCAGCTCATTTAAGGGTGGCTCTATGACGCCCCACCGTCTCCTTCCCTTGGCGAGGGCATTACGTTCCTGCAAAGAAAGGTGATCCCCCATCATAGACCCGGAGCCCTTGGCAGCCGACCAGCTGTGGCCTGTTCGTCACAAGGGAGCTGGCAACGGGTGGCTTCAGTCTCCCATCCCAGGAAGGGTGGGAGGAGGCCCTGAAGACACAAAGCCAGGCCTGGCAGCCAAGACTAAGGGGGAGCAACTTGGCTGTCTACTTCTTTATCCAACCAGGCTCAAACCTCTCCTCTGTCGGGAATTCTTCCCTGGTGTCCAGGGAGTCGCAGGCTCGCGGCCTTGGGCCAGGGTTAATCTTTAGTGAGGTGTGGAGCGGCCTGTGGGAGGATGTGGTCTTTGTATTGAAGATGAGATCCTGCAGACAGTGTGGGCTTTCCGACTGCCTCCCCGTAGGGAAAGGCCAGTGTGGCCAGACTGGTCCCTGAGGCTTTTGAGTGTGAAACACGGGATTTAGACCAGCCCAGCTGGCCTGTGCCTTCACCCTTTTCCTCAGCTGCTAGGATCTCAGTCCGCACTATTGCCACCCTTTGTCATCTTTGCGTGTTTCTCCATAAGCCTGCGAGGTGAGTGTCACTGGGACCCCCCTTTTTGTCTCCCCCCATGCGGTGGCAGTGGTGGCTGAACACGCTTCTAGAAACCCCTCTAGTACCTCCTTTTTACGTCTTGAGTTTCAGTCTGTGCCTTGGGTAGGCACCATATCTTCTCCAGCAGGGATGACAGCTAATTTCTGCCATGAGACTAGAGGTTCCTTGAGGGCAGGGCAGTGTCTCCCCTCAGACTGGGACTCCCTGAGGACAGGACTGTGTCTCCCCTCAGACTGGGGCTCCCCGAACACGGGGCCGTGTCTCCCCTCAGACTGGGGCTCCCTGAGGACAGGGCTGGGTCTCCCCTCAGACTGGGGCTCCCCGAACACGGGGCCGTGTCTCCCCTCAGACTGGGGCTCCCTGAGGGTCGGGCCGTGTCTCCCCTCATACTGGGGCTCCTTGAAATCATCAGATTCTCCCCACACATGTGGCATTTGCACCCCACCCCACTCCCCTGGCTCTCCTCACGGCCCAAGCATTCCTCCCAGGACACCGTTTGTCACACTTTGATGAATGAAACCTACTAAGAATAACTCAGTCCTTGTAGTCTGTAAAGGACAGAGTGTGGAGGAGGGAGGCTGGTGATTGTGGGGCGCTAGGGGAGGATGGACACGGCCATTCATTCAATAGCATTTTCCCAGGTGCCCATCTGGACTCTGAGAGAAGACACGGTGAATGCCACAGAGCCCCCTCCTGTGCCATTTCTGCTGTTGCCAGTAGGGGAGCAACCACAGGATCCCTGAGACAGAAATGCCCCCTTCTTTATAGACTTCCCACCCCAGAAGTCATCACTTCAGGGCCACCCAGCCTCCTCAGTGCTTGGCACCAGCTCCCTGTGCTTGGAAGTCAGGTGCTGGGGGTAGGAGGCTGCTTCCAGTGGGACAGGGCTGTGGTGGGGTGCCTGTGGAGCAGCCTTCTTCCTCCTGTGGAGAAATGTCAGAGGGACCACCACTGTAGAAGCTCTCAAACTGGCAGGAGGGCCTTTGGGGCTTTAACTGGGGGAGGCGGTGTGAGTGATCCAGAGGATGAATCTCTGTCTTCTGCTCCCCCGCAACTCTCTCTCTCTCATCCTGCCCCTTCCCACTCCAAAACCTCAAGCCTCTAGCTAAGAATTGAGCGACCTTTCCAATGCAACTATTTTCCCAGGCACTTCACAGGGGGCCCGCGGGGTGGGGAGGCTGTGACCTTAACCCGCTTCCCTGGACAGGGCCTTCCTGGCACTCTGCCCCCACCTGCCACCTCCTGAGAAGGACATTTCGGCCTGGTCTTGGCAAAAACATCAGCCTATGAGCTAGGCAGCCTGGTATGGTACCAGCTCTGCCACTGAGCCCATGGTGACCTTGAGAAGACATGTCCTCCTCTGCGCCTCAGTTTCCCCACATGTAAAATGAGTTTTGTCTAGTTTTCAAACCTTTCTTTTTTAAAAAATAACAGATCCTTTTGTAACTTATGTGGAGTCTCAACTAGTAACACAGACAAAGTTTGGGGTTCTATGGACAAAAGAGGAGTGGGGGCCCAGAGCGCCGATGTTTAGTTTGACACACACGTGCACACACACACGTGCACATAGCTCAGCTCCAGGGCACTCCACAGAGCATACTTCACAAACCTCTGAACCCTGAAATCCTTCCCTGTGCAAACACTCTGGGGCCCTGCCAGGGCTGGGAGTTCTAGAACTGGGGGTGCTGACAGTGACTGTGGGTTGCCTGGGTGTAGGGATCAGGGCTGAGGGGTAACGGAGTAGGGGGCTTGAGCTGGCATGGGGAGTCCTTTCAAAATGGGTAATCCCACTGAGGCTGGGCAGGCGCCTGGGTCCAAAGCGGGGTCCCTGCCAACCCTCACTGCCCTCCCTACCCCCTGAAGCCAGAAGTCAAGTATGCTTGTCTGGCCCTGGCCTCCTCAGCTGGGGACAGGGGGCACAAGTGGAGACTGAGAGTGCCCTTCCCCCGGGGGAGGGGCAGCAGGTGTGGGCGGGAGCCTCTGGCAGCTTTTCTCTGGGATCCCTCTCACTATGCCTGGCCAATGCCAGAGTGGCAAGAGTTGGGGGACTGGCAGGGGCCCACAGTGCCTCAGGGGTGGGGGCTGAGCACCAGGCAGCCTGAGTGTGGCAGCATAGCCCCCTGCATGAGACGCAGTGAGCCTCACAGAGCCACTGATGCTGGAAATGTGAGAATTTGGTGCCAACAGAGAATGCAGGTGGGAGGAGGCCCATCAGGCACTAGTGACAGGAAGGCAAGAGTGAGGAGAGGAACAGGTGCCACACAGGAAAGAAAAATGGCACCGATAAGAGGCAGGCCTGGGCCTGGGGTCCCAGTTCAGGACAGCAGGGATTGTCCCTCCAAAGTGGGGGAACAGCAGCAGTACCCAGTCCCTCCTTGCCCACAGAGGGACTGTGCTCTGGGGTCCTGAGAAAGGCCTGTGCTCAGCCCCAGCTGCCTGGGGTCACCAGGCAAACGAGGTGCTGCCCTTTCCCTTCACCCCTAAGTGATCTGCACCTGCACAGCCCTGGAAAGATCGCTGTTCCCAATTGCCCTCAGGGGACATGTGGGGGAGCACAGGAGTTTCCCCCAGTCCCCACCTCCCTGGGACGTACAATGAGGGATGGGGAGAGCTACCTCACCATCCTCCATCCCACACACACACACATACACACACACACATACACTGGTGTCTGTTCCCTAGAGACTTAGCAGCCCTGGCCTGGGTCACTGCTAATGTCCCAGGCATGACAGGGCACTGGGGCTACAGGAATGGAAAAGTCAGCCAAGGTCTCTGCCCTCATGGTGCTCACATTCTAGGGAGGGAATGACAGGTGATCAACGAGTCAACAAACCGTAAAGTTCAGGTGGTGAGAAGACAACTATCAGTGGAGAGTGGGGGGATAGGGGGTCTTTTAGGTGGGGTGGTGAAAGGATGCCTCTGGGAGGAGGTGACATTTGAGTGGAGACCCGAGTTACAGGAAGCCAGTCATGCTTTGGGACCAAAAGGACTCCAAAATGTACAATATTTTTAAACTGAAAGAACATGTGTCCATAGACATTAAAGGACAGGGGACTTAGAACTGTCTCTGGAGCATGTTTGTGTCCAGCACAGTGACAGGAAACCCACATACATTATCTCTCAGAGCCCTCTTCAGAACCTGTGTGTCAAATGGTATTATTTTCATTTTACACATGGGGAATATGAAGCCCACAGAGGTTATTGTTTCATTCATTTCATAAGATGCGTTGCGTTTTAGCCTCTGAAATCACTATAATAAGTCCCACGTGGACCTGCCCGCCTAGATCCTACAGTCTGTGAGGACAGAGGAGGATCAGGAGGGCTTCCTGGAGGAGCCCATGGCTAAGTTGAGTCTGAAAGGAGGAGGAGGGGGTGACAGAAGTGATGAGGAGAGGAGGGGGCCCAGAGGAGGTGGCATCAGCAGCAGGGAGACCTGCAGGCAGAAGTAAAGGACTGAGGAGGGGGTCGTGCCGGGCTGCCTGGTCAGCAACTTGAGTGAGCTGGGGTGGTGAGTGAGGACCCTGCAGGCAGGTCAGAGTACGGAAGGGCAGATGGGGCCACGTGGTGTGGCTGTTAGGCAAGGCAGGTAGGATAGGACCTCTTCCAAGGCTCTGGTGACCTGGCCACCCCTGAGTGACAGGGTTAATAATGGCAAAAGGTGGGTGCCAGCCAACAGCAAGGCATAGTCAGACAACTCACACAGGCTTACGCACTCCACACACACAGACACATAGACAGACATGTGCACCCCATACATGCACAAACGCACATGCAGCTGGCCTAACTGTCCATCTCTACTGATGAGGGCCTGCAGAGAGGCACAGGACGGGGGTCAGAGGGCACAGAACAGCGTGACTGCATAGCTCTGGCCTTGGGATCTAGGCACCTCTTTCAGGACAGATGTGTCTCCATAGCCCCCTTCCAGGCTCTCAGGCCCCTTGTCCTCCTCTCCACTTGTGCTCTGAGATCTCACCTGCCAGCACATTGTCCAGGATGTGCACATAGGACCTGGTCACGTTCATAGGGGAGGCAGCCCTGGGCATCAGCCAGCAGGAGAATCCAGACTCAGAACAGACCCTGCCAGGCTGGAGTAAACAGGCCAGACCAGAGAGATGAGCATTCACAGGGTTAACGCAAGGGCTCGAATGTGAGGTCAGACACTCAACAGCTCAGACAGGCTGGGGGAGGCCACATGTAAGATTGGTTCCAGTGAGCACTCTGGAAGGGGACTTGTCCCCCAGGGAGCAAC